TTTCCTTTCCTTTCCTTTCCTTTCCTTTCCTTTCCTTTCCTTTCCTTCCCTTCCCTTCCCTTTCCTTTCCTCACATCCTGGACATAAACTGTTTCAACTCCTTCCCCCAAAACGATGCTATGGAGCACTGCACCCCAGAACAACTAGACACAAGGACAGCTTTTTCCCGAATGCAATCACTCTGCTAAACAAATAATTCCCTCAACACTGTCCAACTATTTACAAAATCTGCACTACTATTACTATTAATCTTCTCATCACTCCTTATCACCCCTCCCCTTCCACTTGTGACTGCATGACTGCAACTTTGTCACTTGTATCCTTACGATTTATATGGACTGTTTCCTAGTATGATTTGGTTGCTTATTGTACCCTATGACTATTATTAAGTATTGTACCTGATGATTCTTGACTCTTGACAAATGTATCTTTTCTTTTATGTACACTGAGAGCATTTGCACCAAGACAATTTCCTTGTGTGTCCAATCACACTTGGCCAATAAAGAATTCTATTCTATTCTATTCTATTCTATTCTATTCTATTCTATTCTATTCTATTCTATTCTATTCTATTCTATTCTATTCTTTCCTCTATCCTCCCCTCCATCTCTCCCTCTGTCCCTCTTTCCCTCCCTCCCTTCCTTCCAAAGAAACAAGGAAGAAAGGAAGAAAGAAAGGAAAAGAAAGGAAAGGAGGGAGGGATAGGCAGGTAGGAAAAAAAGAAATGAAGGATGGATTTGATTTTGGAAAGGAAGAAGTAATGATCTAACCTTAAGAAAGAATTTTCAAAAAGATTATTCATCCTCCAGAAAGAGGGAGAAAAATTATTCAAAACAATCCAACTTATTTTTGTTAGGTATAACATGGAGTAGAGAAAAATTCCAACACACTTTTACAATTCCGTCACTCTACCCTTAAAACCACAAAGAGCATTCCTAGAAGTGCCGGTTCACATGTTTCTTGACTTGGCCTACCTCAAAGGGCTGGCTGTGATGGTGATTTTCCTGCCAGACAATCTAAATGGTTGGCAATCAGAACTGATGGATCCTCAGTGGAAAGAAGCACTTGAATAGCAACTAGGACAAGGAAGGACACGAAAATGTCTCAGCAATTCCTTTCTGACTGCCTTGTTTTCTAAAGTTTTTGCCTTTTCTCAGACCTTTCTGAGATTTTCTGAATTCCATTTGTGGAATTCATCCAAAGGATTCAACCCTTGACAAAATCACAGGTGTGTATGCACTATTGAGTCATCCCACGCTCAAAAGATTTGTTCCAAATTAATTCTGGTCAGAAGGGGTCTAGGACAATTCAGATCACAAATTACAGATTACAGATTCATGGAGTTGGAAGGGACCTTGTAGGTCATCCAGTCCAAGGGTCGCCAACCTTTTGGATCTCAGGGACCACCAAACTCATAATTTTAAATCCCAAGGACCAGAGACCCTGGGAAATATCCCCCCCAAAGGCTTCCTGAAAATTCCTCACCCCGTTTTCCTACTGATCGATCATTCTTTATTTGGGATTGCAGGATACCGTTTCCAGCTCCGTTCTCAGGGGGAGCGGGCGGGGAGAGGAAGAGAGACAGAGAGAGAGAGTCAGAGACTTTTGGCTTCATGCAAGGAAAGCAGCAGAAGCAGCAGAACTCTTTCTTTCTCTCCCTAAACTCCACCAGAGACGAGTCTTTGTGAGACTTGTTGCATTGGTACAGCCTCTTGGAACAGGAAACCTTGCAGGGTCCCAAAGACTCATTTCCGGCGGAGTTTGAGGAGAGAGAGAAAGACTTTGGCTGCTTTCCTTGCATGCAGTCAAAAGCAGAAGAAGAAAGAAGCAGAAAGAAGCAGCCTGGTGGCCAGGCCAGGTGTGGGGCAAGTGGGACAAGTTCCCCCCCTGCCTTTTCCCCCCTCCCCTCACTACCTCATGTTGTTCTCAATGCAAGCGACACAAGCCTTGTGTTCCTGTGGGCCATGTGGGTGACACAGCCTTGTGTTCCCGCGCAGCCTGATTAATTGCTTTTGGGATTGCTTTGGGGGGGGGGACATTTCTCTGAGGACCACCAAAGTTTTCTCACAGACCACCAGTGGTCCCTGGCCCATCAGTTGGTGACCACTGAATTCTAGTCTAACCCCCCACCTAAGCAGAAGACCCTGCACCATTTCTGACAAAATGGTGTAGGGGCAAAATTCACCATGGCCAACTTGCCAAGGGATAATCCATCACAGGACAAAAGTTATACTACTATCAAAGAAATTGTGGAATAGAATCATTAAAGGAAGGATTCTTCAAGAATGAAAAAGGTCTTCTGCAGTCACGACATAAGCCTAAGGTTGAAAACCAGGCTTGTCAGATGCTCCATCTTTTCTATCCTGCTCTACGGAGTGGAGAGTTGGTCTCCGACAGAAAGCCAGTTGAAGAGACTAGAAGCATTTGAAATGTGGGTTTACTGGTGGCTGTTACGTACAAGTTGGGTTGACAAAATCAGAAATGAGGAGGTGATAAGCCACCTGGGAAAGCCAAGGGAAATCATCAAAACCATAAAATATTTTGGACTTGTGATGCGACACCTGGAAAAATACGGCATCCTTCACTTAATCCTCCAGGGAAAGATTGAAGGCAAATGAAGGTCCAGGCAGAAGAAGAAGAAGATCATGGCTTCAAAATCTAAGGGACTGGTTTGGACAAAACTTAACAGCACTTTTTCCTGCGGCTGTTGATAAAAATAGGATCGCCAACATCTGAAGAAGGAGGAGGAGGAGGAGGAGGAGGGGGGGAGGGAAGGAGGCCAAAGGAGGGGCAATATGAAATGTGAACAACAAAAAATTACATAATCATTTAAAATAATTATATAGAATTCTTGAATTGTCCTGCAGAAAGTTGTCTCATGGCGAGTTAGCCTCTTCCAGGCCAGAAGAAGCCAGCAGTATACAAGACCTAGGAGGAAAGATGGCATGGAGAAGCCGGGCAATGTTTCTCCTAGCTGGGTACCAAAACACGATCTTAAAGAAACCCCAGGGGTGTTCAGATAATGCTACAGCCAATGAAATGTGCACTGTGTTGTCGATTGTCTATGGAGCTTCTCAATCAATCCAGGTCATGGTTGTCCCAAAGGTGCCTTTTTTTCAAAAGACAGCTGGACGTTGTTTTACCTTGAAGTTGTCTTGCTTCTCACCCAAGAAGCTTCTTTAGTTCTGACTCAAGAAGTTCAGTTCTGACTGTGTTGTTGATTGTGGTAGGGTTTCTGCTCCCTCTGCTGGGTGGAAATTCTTGCTTGGACTCTTATTCCCACATGGCATCTCTTCTTTGGAATCATCTCATGGGGATTCTGACCTGTGAAGAAGTTGTTTTCCTTAGAAGATGGGTGAAGGGAAGAAATCTTTTTTGGGCGGGGGCGGTCTTTGTTCTGAATTTGTTCATTATTGTAGACATCTGGTTGAATACTTATTTGGCGTTCTGGAGTTGGTTATTGTTGTTTCCCATCCTCCCAGCCTGAGTTAAAACAAAACATTAGAGATGGAAGTTATTTCCTAGGTCAGAATAACAGAGTTGGAAGGGACCTTGGAGGTCTTCTAGTCCAACCCCCTGCTCAAGCTGGAGAACCCATACCATTTCAAATGGCTGTTGTGTCTCTTCTTAAAAACCTCCAGTGTTGGAGCACCCAGAACTTCTGAAGGCAAGTTGTTCCACTGGTTAATTGTTCTCCATGTCAGAAAATTCCTCCTAGTTCCAGGTTGCTTCTCTCCTTGATTAGTTTCCATCCATTGCTTCTTGTCCTGCCTTCAAGTCCTTTGGAGAATAGATTAACTCACCTTCATCTTTGTAAGAGCCCCTCAAATATTGGAAGACTGCTATCATGTCCCCCCTAGTCCTTCTTCTCATTAGACTAGACATACCCAATTTTTACAACCATTCTTTATATATTTTAGCCTCTAGTCCCTTAATCATGTTTGTTGCTGTTTTCTTTCCAGAGCCTCAACATCTTTTTTATATATTGGAGATCAGAACTAGATGCCATATTCCTAGTGTGGTCTTATCAATGCATTATTAAATGGTACTAACAGTTCACACGCTCTTATTGATGGAAGAAATATTTTCTATTATTTGATATTTTCTGAATTGACCACCTTGTCCTCCTGTCTTCTCCATCTCCTTCTCCTCTTTCTCCTTCCCCCTTCCCTTCCCTTTCCCTTCCCTTCCCCCTCCTCCTCCTGTCTTCTAATACTTGACAAGCTACTACAGAGTAGCCATTTGTCCAGAACGGTATAATGCAGTGGTGGCTAACCTTTTTGGGCTCCAGTGCCAAAAATTGTGCACGCGCTTGCATGCTTGCACTCGTGTGCCAGCACCCAGAAGGCAATGTGCACCCCCCCATGCCCCCTACCCATGTGTGCGCAATCCCCACCCACCCATCCCCGCCACCCCCTTACCTGCACTGCACATCACAGCTGATTTTCGGGCAGTTTGAGGCCTTTTTCGGCCTCCCAAAGGCTTGAGGAAGGCTTCTGCAAGGCTTTTCAGGCCAAAACCTAAGCCCATTTCATCACTTCCTGTTTTTCCGGAAATACCGGAGGTGATGAAACGGGCCTAGTTTTCAGCCTGCAAAGCCTGCGGAAGCCTTCCTCAAGCCTTTGGGAGGCCAAAAAAGGCCTCAAACTGCCCAAAAATCATCTGTGAGGGGCGCGCATGCGCAGTGAGGTAAGTTTGCCTGCAGCTCGTGTGCCGGCACAAATGGCTCTGCATGCCGCCTGTGGCACGCATGCCATAGGTTCGCCATCACGGGTATAAGGTCTCCTGGTCAAGCAGGGGGTTGAACTAGAAAACCTCCAAGGTCCCTTCCAACTCTGTTATTCTATATACTTCATCTTAGGTGGAATTTGGTGACAACTCTATAGCTGTTCCTATTCATTTTCTCCTCCTTTGTTGGCTGAGTAGCCTACCACCTCTTCCCCTGCAAGAGCCTCTTTTCTTCCTTGTCCACTTGATTAGTCCTTACTTCTTTGCTAATAGCTAACTAGATTTCCATTGCAAGGTAGCAGAGTATATAATAACCTGCAATTATTGCCCGTTTAGTCTCTCCCTTGTGTGTTTTTATTCCCTCATGCACCCGATCTCAATGTTGCTTTTTTGCTGATTTTACTACCCCATTAATTACCATAGAGAAAAAAAATGCTGCAGTGGGAAGTAAGGGGAAAGATGCCACCATCTCACTGAGCTGGCCGGTGGTAAAATTCACACACCGTCTGGCATCCAGCTGTAGGGATATCTGCAATTGGTGGGATCTGAACTTCAGAATAATAGAATAATGGGGTTGGAAGGGACCTTGAAGGTCAATCTGAATAGAGCTGGAAAGGGACAATGGAGATCTTCTAGTCCAGCCCACTGCTCAGGCAGGAGTCCCTATACCATTTCAGACAAGTGATGGAGCATCCACAACTTCTGGTGGCAAGCTGTTTCACTGGTTAATTGTCCTCACAACTAGGAACTTTCTCCTTATTTCCAGGCTGAATCTCTCCTTGATCGGTTTCCATCCATTGTTCTTTGTCTGGCCTTTGGGTACTTTGGAAAACAGGTTGACCCAGAGCTTCTGAAGGCCAGCTTTTCCACTGGTTAATTGTCCTCAGTGTTAAGAATTTTCTCCTTAAGTCCAACCCCTGCTTAGGCAGGAAACCCTACACCACTTCAGACAAATGGTTGTCCAATCTCTTCTTGTAGGAGTGTATTTACAACTTCTGGAGGCAAGTCGTTCCATTGATGAACTGTTCTAACTATCAGGAAACTTCTCCTTAGTTTTAGGTTGCTTCATGTTAAAAAGAATTTAATTTTTTCTGAATAGGGAAAGATTATGTCTACAATCTGCAACACACTGATATCCAGGGATGGAAGTTAGGGAACATACCAGAAAGCCCTTTGGAGGTAAAAGATCCCAACACCCAAAATGTACTTGAACTATGTGGAAAATGAAAGCCACCACAATTATAGCCAACAAAGGAGAATATATGTAGCTCAGGATTGAATCGTGGGGGGTGCCTTCTGAGCTTGGTTGTTTTCTTGCAGACATTTCATGGCCACATGAGGTAGCATCACCAGTGGTGGAAAGAAGTGGGTTTGTAGGAGGAAAGAGGAGGAGGAGGATGGAAGGAAAGGGAAAGGGAAAGGGATGGGGAGTGGGAGAGAGAAAAGGAGAGGGAAAGGGAGAGGGAGAAGGAAAGAAGAGGGAGAGGGAGAAGAAGATGGTGAAGGAGGAGGAGAAGGACAGGGAGAAGGAGAGAGTGAGGGAGAGGGAGAAGGAGATGAAGAAGAAAAAGGAGAAGGGGAAGGGGAAGGAGAAAGAGAGAGTGGGGGAGAAAGAGAAGGAGGAGAGGGAGGGAGGGAGGGAGAGGGAGAAGGAGAAAGAGATGGAGAAGAAGGAGAAGGGGAAGGGGAAGAAGGAGAGGGAGAGGGAGAAGAAGAGGGAGAGGGAGAGGAAGAAAGAGAAGGAGATGGAGAAGGAGAAGGGAAAGCAGAAGGGAAAGAAGGAGAAGGATAGGAGGAAGGGAAGGAGAAGAAGTAGCTTTGTAAAATAAAAATACATTCATAAAATATTTCTTTAAAACTCACTCAGTGCTCTGACATATTATTAAACCTAGCCATATAAGTCATCTATTCTTCCATCTCCTCAGTTTTAGTACAATATGTTATTTCAATGCAATGATATTTATATAGTACGCTTAGAGTCTTAATATTCTATTATGTAGACGCCTTCGAGCATTAAATGTGAAAAGGGGTGGGGGGGAAGAGAAGAGGATATTCTATCAATATTAATTACCATTTGAATGTTAATGTTCCAAGCATTCTAATTCTTTGACTTCTCTTTGAAATTAAACAGAATGAATATATAATCAAAAGAAAACACGAAGGAAGAATGTACATCAAAGTATTTGTTTTACAACGATTGTTCCAGGCTTAAGGTAAATGACTTGTTATTAAAAAAAAAAAAAAGTCTCCATGGTGTTGCTGAATATTGAATATTTTCCATGATGTCGGTCCATGGTGTAAATGGCCTGTTTAATTTTGATGCGCTTTTATTTATGGAAATACAGGTTTTTAAAAAAACAGATAGGATTTCCATTGCACTGTCACAATGTCCATTGTTTTACTAAATAGTTTTCAAAGATAGTAACTAGGTGAGCGAAGTTTCGGCCGCGTAAAATTCTAACTGGAGAGCATGATTGATGACTCTGGGCTATGGACGTGTCCCGTTGGAGACTATGAATTACCATACACCCAGAGGGTGGGAGAAAACCAGGGTCAAGGATGACAATAAATCTTGTCTCTCACAGTCGGCTACACCCAGGCAGTGCTGGCATGTTAACTGCCAATAAATCCTTTTGAAGTTTTGGAAGTTTGGCTCGAGACTCATGATTTAATTGGGGTAACTGCCAGAACCTGACAAACAGATTAACAGAGTTGGAAGGGACCTCGTAGGTCATCTAGTCCAACCTCCCCCCCCCAAAAGCAGGAAACTCTACACCATTTCTGATAGAAATGGTTGATTTTCTTCATTTAAAAAAAAACACAAAACTTAAAAACCTTAGCCTTCTGTACCCCAATCGCTTTTTCACATCCCACCCCGTCCCAAAAGACTTGCATATTCCATCACAATATGCCTGTCGGTGCTTCTATCACAACTGTGATCAAAAGGCGGGGTGACATATGGAAATATTTGCTCTGCACAAATTCATTTCTTCTCGAAAGGGGCCCTTAACCTAAATGGCGTATTTCCTCTAATGTTCTCTCTCTAATAAATGGTTCAGGGAGAACATAAGAGCCAAACGATGTGGTAGGAAATGCAGCATAATTTCTCTTTAACGTGTAGGAATTTTGAATGCAAACAAGCGTGTGCCAAATTTTTATGGCTTCTAAATTTGAATAATTGTATTTCTCTGCTGTGCATCTGGGAAGATAATAACACCACAAAAACAATTTAATTATATATACATATATACATACATACATATATACAAATATACAGATATGTAATATATCTACATCTATATATCTCCCTATATATATATATATCAATATCTATATCTATAATTATATATCTATATTTATATCTATATCTATATTTATCTATCTCTATCTATCATCTGTTTGTCCCTGTATATCTATTTCTATCTATCTATCCATCTATCTATCTATCTATCTATCTATCTATCTATCCATCTATCTATCTATCTATCATCTATCTATCATCTATCTATCCATCCATCCCTCCATCCATCAATCCCTTTCTCTCTCTCTCTCTCTCTCTCCATATACATACATACATACATACATACATACATACATACATACATACATACATACATATATATATATATATATATATATATATATATATATATATATAAAGTTTTCGCAGGTACTTACATGTATGGTATTCAGCTTTGTTCGGATATTTTCCCACGTCATTATACTTGTGCTTTTAAAGTTGTAGCAACGTTTCAGCAGAATCTCATCTGCCATCATCAGGCTTCTGCATTGTGTTCGTCTGTGAGTCAGACTTTTACAGTTGTTTCAGTTTTAAATTTGGGGCTAGCCTACTGCTGTGCCAGAATGGTTTTTTTCTTCATCCTGATTGGTTGGGAGTCTTGGTCTGTGTTTATTGGTCTTGGAGTTTGATGTGTTCTGCTTGATTGGTGTTTCTAATATCTTCTATCTGTTTTGTGGCTTTTTTTGTCTTGATTGGCTGGCAACATTGTGGTC